GAATTGTCGTAGAGAAGAACCGGTTCTGGCTCCATGTTGGAACTGCTCCTTTTGACTTCCTTTTCCTTGCCATTGCTATCATAAGCAAACATAAAAGTCTGCTTCAGAGGCCCACGCCCCTCTGCCTGGCAGTTAAACTAAAGTGCCTTTGTTCAGCTCACAGGGAGACAATCTGACCTTTCCCACCAATGAAAGGAAGAGATGAACACACCCCTTCCAAAGGTTGGCCCTTGGGAGAGATGGTTTACAAGACTGAAGAAGCTTTGTACTTTAGTTCCTCACTATCTCTTGCTCTCTCTTCTGTCTTTTGACTTGAGTCCCTCATTGCTTATCTCTGTCTGGCTTTATATAAGAACCCGGCATCCATGCCCTGACAAGATGATTACTTGGGGACATTAGTCTGCCATCTTCTCAGTCAGCCAGCTTTCTGAATAAAGTCATATCCCTTGCCTCAATACCTCATCTCTCAGATTCATTGGCCTGTAGGTAACACAGCCAGAGAGTCCATGCACCATAAGTAAAAACCGGCCACAATGAAACAAAGATTCCATGCGCTGCAACTAAGACCTGAAACAAATAAATAAATGTGGAAGTAAGTAAATATTAAAAAAGATCTTTTTGGTAATATAAGCTACATATGCAATTATCTTCTTTGAAAAAAAAAGTGGGCTTGTGGTTTATTAAGTAAAATTAAATTCTATTTGCATTGGAACCTTTCTTATGAATGCTAGAGGGAACAGTGAGAGTTTTTGGTAGCCAAGCTCAATAGCTTCTTTCCACTGTTTACATAGTGAAGGAGGAAACAGACAGAGCTGGACTCCGTCTTAGGCCAGGCTGTGAACATTAGGCTACATGCATGGTTACCCTCTCAATGGACTCTGAAGTTTGTGCCCGGTGTCTATAGAAATGGCCTATCAATGGGAAATCAGACCCCCTGGATAAAAGAGCCTCAGGCCTTCCACTTGGAGTCTTTGTTGCCTAAAAGAATATGCTAATTATCTCTGTAACAGACCAGAGTGGTAAATTCCATTATGTTTATTGGGATATGATCACAGGACTGTTGATAAATATCCACTGTTTATTTAGTCTTGCGACACAGGAATCATGGCTTAACTTTGATTGTATCTCTTTTTTACCTTGTCCAGACTAGTTTCAAAGAATTTGGGGAGGTGGGTATGAGCAAGTACACTTAGGGTATAAAAGGTTTTCACAAAAACTGGCCGGGGTCCTTGGCTAAGAGGAGACTCTGCCTTGGGCCCGCCGGTGTAATAAAGTGCACTCCACTATCTGCATTGTCCTTCTGAGTGAGTTTGTTTCCCAGAAAGCATGGCTACAACAATAGGAGCTGGGCAATCTAAGATGTAAAAACAGTGCTAAAAGAGAAAACAGACAAGCAAGACAAAATTAATATACTGGGAGAGAGATGCTTCACAGTTACAGAAGCATGGATAAATTTGAGAAGGAGACATAGCAAGCCTAGCTTTAGCATTATATTTGAGTGCTTGCAGAGTTAACATTTGAGTAAGGTGGTTTTCTTTTTATTTATCATTAGATTATCTGCATTTTGACCACTATTCAAGACATAGTTTGTATTAAAGGCTGTATGACTTCCTTTTGGTACAAAACAACAGGATTTTTTTTTAAATGAATTACCTTATGAGTGGCAATTTTCATTTTTATTTTTTTTTTTAATTGGAGAATTGCTTTTCAATGTTCTGTTTAGACCTTGTGTACAGCAAGCTAATCAGTCATAACTATCCTTGCAACACCTCTCTTTTGAGCCACTCCTCTCGCTCTATCTCAGCCCTTCTAGGTCATCATAGAGCATATGTCTGGGATCCCTGTGTGAAAGCAACTTCTCACCAGCTTGGCAGGAAGGAATGGAAACACAGACGTAGAGAACAGACGTGAGAACACAGTGAGGGAAGGAGAGCGTGAGATGAACGGAAGACAACTGGGTTTTCACAACTGGTGCGATAAACTCTTAAGAGTAACTGATGTTTAATTTCCCCTGGATTGGCAGACAGTGAGGCCGTCCTAAGATGCGATGGTCTTAGGATACATTCCGAGTGGACACATGTTGGTGGGAACCCCAGAGGAAAGCCTGAAAGTGCTGGAAGTGCAGAGGAAGGGATGGAAGGGTGATGATGGGAAGACAAGGGGTGCTAGACGGGATCACATCCCTGCTTGAAACTATCTGATTCGGGGACTTTCCTTGTTTTCCACTGGTTACGACCCTGCACTGCTGCTGAGCTGTACAGGTTCTATTCCTGGTTGGACAACTAAGAACCTGCACGCTGCTGGGTGCAGCCAAAAGAGACAAACAGACAAAAATCCAAATTATTATCTGGATCGAGGACCAAAGACAGGGAACCATTTCAGGGTCTTTCGAGACATGAAAGCCTTCAATCATCCGGATGTCACAGCCAAAAACCAGAACTGGATACTATAAGAAGGAATTGTGTGAATGAAAGAGAAAAATGACACGGCCACCAAAAGAAAAGAAGAAAGAGAAAACAAAAGATAATACTGTTGTTCTACGTTAAGATGGAAAGGATCGACTGAAGACGTGAGCTGAAGACATTCTTGAGACAGGCTTCAATCTAAGCATAGGACTCTCAGCTCTGATTTGTCCCAGGAGAAGCCAGGACTGGGTGAGCCCTGCAGGGATTGCCCCTCAGCTGACTGGGGAATCCTGAAACGCACTGTTTCTTCATTTCTATACTCAGAACAAGAATAATCTTTTAATGCATTTATTTGATAAATCACTATCAGTGAAGATGAACATAAGTAAAAATTTGACTAAAAATACAAGACAAGAGATTCTTTCATACAGAGTTAGGAAAATAACTAGATGTATAGAGTTAGTAAATTTACTTTTCCCATTTAAATTCTAAAAATTACAAGAACTACTATCTTGCTTTTTCACTCACACAGAGAAACAACTGAGTTAGTGATTACTACATGACAGATTAGGTGGGTAAAAGGTGTCTGGAAAAGGGGTAATGAAAATGAATTGTTAACACGACTTCTTCATATCAGGTTAAGGGCATTTGAATGGCTCTCCCTCTTAGCAATTAAGAGGAAAGAGCCCACTGTGGGATGCTTTGTACAGACATGCTCCTCACTTTTGAGGAACAGGAGGCTTTCCAAGGGTCGCTTACATAACAGATTTTCCTTCGCTATCCCACACAGTGAATATTTACTTTTACATAATAAATTTTAAACACTTTCCTCTAAGTTAAGTGAACAATATGGGGTGGGGGGGAGTGGCGGGCGGGCGATATGTACCTTGGACAGCTCATCCCACTTTGGATCTCTGGATATAAAGAAAAATAAATATTGCTGACCTTGAAATTATCACATGTGTACTGTGATTTCATTCATAAGCCTCTCTTGAAACAAATCTCCTTATGAGAATGACAAAAGGCCAGATAAAGGTAACCTTCTCTTAAGACTAATCTCATTATTAGAATGACTGAGTGCCAGAAAGCTTATCTCTACCAACCAGGAAACAGAAGATGACATCTGTGTGACTCTGGTTGTAGAGGAACAATCATTGGCTCGTGACGCATCACGCCAACAGGTGCATGCTAGAAAAGAGGCGCCAGTTTTGCATCCTCTCCAACCACTGGGACACCCTCAGCTTCTGCGGAAGAAGAGACGGCGAGATGAAGGTTCTGCTGCTCAGCGTTGTCCTTGGTCTGCTTTATGCAGGCCTAGGTGAAGCTCAGCTGCTTCTCGTACCGGTACCAGGGGTGGTGCACGCTGGGAGGAGGTCTTGGGGTATATGTGTGTGCGTGTCCCTTTTGAGGTTCGGTCATGTGGATCCCTAAGTCTGGCCATCTCCCTGCAACTCTAAGTTGCTCCATTCACTCGCTCTATACCTGTTCTGCATGGCCTCCATGTCATCTCTGCCGTCCTTTCCTTGGCTCTCACGCATGTTCACTGCTCTTGTAAGACAGAAGGAAGATCACACAGCCGCTGGACTAGGCTCTTGCATTTGACAAGACAGCTCAAGCTATCTCAGGAATGCCTCAGTTCCTTCTTTTATGCGAGTTGAGTTTTCACCTGATTTTATACCTAGGGCTGTGTTCATAAAGACGGGTAACTTCTGCCCAAGTGAAAGGACACGGGAACCTCCTGAGGGATGATGTTGGGCGGAAATTGCAGAGATGGACGAAGCTTCCTCACAGGAATTTGATTTTAGTTTTCAGGGGCATGGAAAACCCATTACCTCGCAGCCAGTAACAAAGAGATTATCTCCGAGGGCGGGCCATTCCACATTTACTTACGTCATGTTCAGTTTCATCCAAATGACACAGTTGACATCGACTTTTATGTCAAGTAAGTAAAAATCACCCCGAAGGAAAAAAAAAACAAAACTATAAGCTCTTGAGTCTAGCGGAGGCTGTGGCTTCTCCACCTGCTGGGAATTCTGGATGATGCTGAGAACGTAATGCCATGAGTTGTGGATGAGCAGGGTCTCAGAGCTGGGCTCAGGGCAGTTCACCTGTGAGCCTCCAGGGCAAGTCCTGGCGCTTTTGCTTAGAAGAGGGTGGGAGTTCCAGAAGCTCCACTGGCATCGACTCATTCCATGAAAGAGGGACTCGGCAGCGGGAAGAGGCTCACGTCCTGGAACCAACCAGGGGCTTGAACCCTTCCTGCAGAGTCTGTAAGAGATGCTCCCCATCAAGCCCAGAACGTGACGGTGCTGGGAGAGCCCACAGTGAGCTCTGTTCTGTGGGGCTTCCTCACGGGAATATTTCATCACCACCGAATTCACTAAAGCCTTCACAGCCGCAGATGAGCTTCCCAGGTGATGCNTTCAAAAATTAACCCAATTCTTTTTGAGTTATTTCCATTTTAATATTTGTTTCCTGTGCATTCTATGTGCCAAGTGTATGTTTTTTTTTTTCACATACATGCACAGAGGACAATATAGGAAGTCACCCAAACACTTCTGTTACATAGGTGACAATATATACTTAACATATATTATATATGTATAATTTCCTTATATCATACAAGCATATCATGTGTATTTGTGTTTTTGCTTGTGTGTTTGTATGTATCAATGTGTATACAGTAAATAGATGTGTCTTTAAAGTTTAGTCCTTTTCTGGAGTTGTGATGGATGAAGAGTTTGCGTTTTGAGAAAATTAAAAATTTTCTTCCAACTCTTGGTGATATTTGGGTCTCATATTCTCTAATGAATCACTCCCAGGGTTGTGAGAACACCCAACATCTGTCATGATGGCTATTCCTCTCAGTTTTCAGAAACTATATAAAGGAAAGGCTCATTCTCATCAGGTTTTCCTAAAATTCTAGATGTCTCCATGTGTATTGGCTTTAAACAAGACCTATAGCGTATATGAAGTTTATCTTTGGAACAACTAGTCAGATCTAATGTGTAGACAAACCATCCTTCTCACTGAGAGTTGCTTGATCTAAGACAACATATTTCTTCTCTTTGTTCACATTGCTCACAGGTACTAAGGTGATATAAGCACAATCTGGGGTGTGATACAAAAAGAAATTCTAATTATATACCGAATTTTGCTATTTTAATAAAACAACTTGAATATATTTTGTCTTTAAGGTCAGATGGAGAATGCATAAAAAAACGTGTCACAGGGGTAAGGCGAGAAGGTTTGACTTATGATATTGAATGTAAGTATTTGATGTAGAATGTAAGAATATTTCACTGGGAGTGTGTTTGGGTGGCAATCTTCGTCTTGACTTCCTTCAATTACCCCCAAACACCTGCATTCTACTCCTCCTAACAGTTAGAAGTCAAGGACTGGACCGTCTCCACACAACTGAGTTTTACTCAACAAGACTAGAGCGAGGCATCCTAGAGTGTGAAGTCAAATAGGCCTTAGGAAATATTACTAGGGAAAAAGGTAGTGGAGCTGATGACACTCAACCTGAGCTATTTAAAATCCTAAAAGATACTGCTGTTAAAATGCTGCACATAATATGCCAGCAAATTTGGAAAGCTGAGCAGTGGCCATAGGACTGCAAAAGGCAGTTTCCATTCCCATCCCAGAGAAGGGCAATGTCAAACAATGGTAACTACCACATGGTCACATTAATTTCACATGCTAGTCAGTTTGTGCTCCAAATCCTTCAAGCTGGGCTTCAGCAGCACGTGAACCTAGAATTTCCAGATGTGCAAGCTGGGTTTTGAAGAGGCAGAGGAACCAGACATCAAATTGCCAACATCTGCCGGATCGTGGAGAAAGTAAGGGAGTTCCAGAAAAACACTAACTTCAGCTTCACTGATTGTGCTAAAGGCTTTGACGAAAGGCTTGCCACAAACTGTGGACAATTCTTAAAGACATGGGAATACCAGAACGCCTTACCTGTTTCCTCAGAAACCCTGTATGTGAATCAAGAAGCAACAGTTAAAACTGCACAGGAAAAAATGCATTGGTTCCAATTTGGGAAAGCAATAACTCAGGTCTGTGTATTGTCACCCTGCTTACATAACTTATATGCAGAGGGCATCATGTGAAATGCCAGGCTAGATGAATCACAAGCTAGAATCAAGATTGTCAGGAGAAATATCAAGAGCCTCTTATATGCAAATGATACCACCCTATTGGCAGAAAGTGAAGAGGAACTAAAGAGCCTCTGAATGAGGGTGAGAGAGGAGAATGAAAAACCACATCTGAAACACAGCATTCAAAAAACAAAGACCATGGTATCTGGTTTCATTACTTCACGGCAAATAGAAAGGGAAACGTGTGGAAGTAGTGACAGATTTTATTTTCATGGGCTCCAAAATCACTGCAGATGGTGACTGCAACCATGAATTTAAGAGATGCTTACTCCATGGAAGTAAAGGTAGGACAAATTTAGATAGTGCATTTCAAGGCAGAGATGTTGCTTTGCTGACAACAAACCATAGCATCATACCTGTGATTTTTCCAGTAGTCATGTATGGATGTGAGAGCAAAAAGATCATATGATGATCAGATGATAAAGAAGGCTGAGCACCAAGGAATTGATACTTTTGAACTGTGGTGCTCAAGAAGACCCTTGAAGTCCCTTGAATTGCAAGAAGATCAAAGCAGTAAATCTTAAAGGAAACCAACACTGAGTATTAACTGAAATGACTGATGGTGAACCTGAAGCTCCAATCCCTTGGCCCCCAATAAGAGCCAACTTGTTGGAAAAGAACTGGATACTGGGAAAGAATGAAAGCAAAAGGAGAATGGAGTGGCAGAAGATTAGATGGCATCACCTACACAATGGGCATGAGTTTGAGCAAACTGGGAGAGAGTGGAGAGCAGCAGAGCCTCATTTCGTATAGTTGTCAGGTCGCAAAGAGCCTGACGTGACCTAGCTACTCAACAACGGGAAAATGAGACTAAGCCCAGGTGTCAAATTTGTATTTTGTACGATTCTCACCGTGAACGTCCTGAATGTTCATTGGAAGGACTGATGTTGAAGTTGAAACTCCAATTTTTGGCCACCTGATGTGGACAGCTGAGTCATTTGAAAAGACCCTGATGCTGGGAAAGATTGAAGGTGGGAGGAGAAGGGGGCGACAGAGGATGAGATGGTTGGATGGCATCACTATCTCGATGGACATGAGTTTTGGTAAACTCCAGGAGTTTGTGATGGACAGGGAGGCCTGGTGTGATGCAGTCCATGGGGTTGCAAAAAGCCAAATGATTGAGTGACTGAGCTGAGACTGAGATGGTTCTCACAGAAAATTTACAAGAGCCTTGTGAACTGACGTCTCAAGGTTCTGTCTCAAGTTTGTACATTGGGGTCGATCACTTTTTAAAAACAGTCTTAAAACATCTAACTCTGACCAAGGTTTGGTGGATGTACTTGAATCCAAGGGAACTATCCTGATTTCAATCATAAAGGCAGCTTGCGTTCAAACCAATGGGGGTACTGGCTAAGATTTATATCCTTAAGTCCCCAATGAGGTGCTCTAAGCATCATTCTTAATTTTAAGTGGCTGAAGAGGTACATGTTTGATGAAAATTTGAGTATATCCACATGTGATCACAACCCTTGCCTAAACACAGTATTGGCACAGTTGCAAATGCAATGACTGCAAAGAAGTAAAACTTCTGCCTGAATTATTTCCCCATACTTTTGTGGATCATTTCTAACACCTGATTCTTAAATTGTGCTCTCATATTCTTCAGTTCAGTTCGTTTGTTCAGCCATACATGACTCTTTGCAACCCAATGGACTGCAGCACACCAGGCTTCCCTGTCCACCACCAATTCCTGGAGCTTGCTCAAACTTGTGTCCATCGAGTCAGTGATGCCATCCAACCATCTCACCCTCTGTTGTCCCCTTCTCTTCCTGCCTTCAATCTTTCCAAGCATCATTATTCACATATTATTTTTTCCTTTGACTGAGTCATGAATGCTTCCACTGTTATTGTTTCCTTTATTGTTGTAAGACCTTTCAGCTGGAGTTTTACAGAGCAAATAACAAGGGAGAGAAGCAGAATAGTTTGCCGTCTCACACAGGTCTCTTTCAGGAGCTAACCCCAGGAGTGTTTGCTGGGGCGTGGTGTCTCTCATCAAGCACAGCACAAACAGAGACCTTGTCAGTGACCTGAGACCCAGAAGACAGATTTTCTCTGAGTACCATCGCCTTCACAGACAATTCAGTGATGCTCCCATGCCCACCTTGGTGGAGCCATGGTCAAGAACAGGTGGTCACTGATAATCTGAAGACATGCATTGCAGGCTTAATTTATTCCAACGCGATCCAAGGTTCATGGACCCGTGGTCGGTCTGGGCGTGTTGTATATATTTTCGGGATTATGAGATGGTGAAGCTGTTTCAGCTTCTATTTTTTTTTCTCCTTCTCAAGCAGACTGATGATTTTCAGTAGTTTAGACACTGAAGTAAGGTGTTTTCATGTCTCAGGAGCACCGTTGGGCAGTTTTACATCCCATCTCTCTGAGTGATTGCAGGAAGGTGTGACGGAGGCCAGGAGAGGCAGAATGGAAGTAGACAGTTTAGAGGTGACATGCAGTAGGTCAGAGCTGCTTCTTGTCCAGACACATGGGGCAGAATGAACGGGCAGGGCTGCGGGTGGGGACGGAGCTCACTGCCTGCACGTCCCAGCAGGTGAACTGTCTTCAGAACAACAGACACGGCAGCGGGCTCTGTCATACCCCAGACTGAGCGGGCAGAGGAAACAGAGTAATTAATGTAAAGGATTCTGAAGGTTGCCAGGCAGAAGCTTGGGCACTCAGGAACACAAGCTTATGAATGGTAGGCTGATTTTGGTCCAGAGAAATCAATGCCATGGCTGGGATAACAGGAATACAAAGGATTTTAGAACTTCTGTTTGATAATACCCTCATGCTGTTGAAAACACTGTTGGGGACTTCCCCGGTGATCCTGTGGATAAGAATCGGCCGGCCAACGCTGGACGCATGGATTGGATCTCTGGCCCAGGATGATCCCGCATGCCATGGGGCACAAAGCCCATGTGCCACAGCTACTGAGCAGATGCTCTAGAGCCAGCAAGCAGCAATGACCCAGCCCACACCTCCTAGAGTCTCTACTCGACCAAAGAGAAGCCACTGTGACAAGAAGCCAGTGTACCCCAACTGGAGAGTGGTCCCCGGGGCAAGACAAGCAGAGAAAGACTGCAGACAGTGGCGAACATTCAGAGTAGCAAAAAATTAACTGAAATTAGACAAATTAAAAAAATACACATCTATTGGTTTCACTTGGACACAGGTTCTAGAAAGCATCTTAGTAAGACAGCAAGGAGTGACTGGTTAACTGCAGGAAAGGTGAGAATGAGGGAAGGTCTTGCCTGCTCTTCTTGCTCTTGTGACCACGGTAGCATTCGGGGCACCTGTGGAGTGAGGCATACATCAACACCACACATGCCGTTCGTAATGCCCCCAGTCTGTCACAATACATCTGACTGACAACAAATGAATGCGGCGTTGTACATATGTATCTCTTCTCTCTCTCACAGATGCGGGTCAAAATGAACTTAAAATTCTTCACTTTTCACTTAAGGCTATAGTAGGATATATTCACAATGTGGCTGAAGATGGAAAAGAGACAGACTTGGTTGGGATAATCGGTATGTATGGCATTCCACATTTCCCATTGCCACTGTCACACCACATGTCCATGTCAGAACTTTCATTCAGAAAATGACGAGGTTTTGACAATATTCACTATTCAGTATGCAAGGTCTTCGTATTCGTGTTCACTGACTTAAGTATCCTGGAAGGTAACCTACTAAGAATCAGGGGCCAAAAGTATTTTTCAAACACTTGAAAATAATCTCTACTCATTGATATTTAAAAAATTAATTTTATAGAATATTAAAAAAATATATCAACTAAGCTCAAGCCATGGCTATAATGAGGCTGGCCTGAATGACATCACTTTATATCAGGTTTCTCATGCATTATAACCCCTGGAACAGAAACTTATAAAGTAAATCTTCGTCCTGTTCAGTTATCGCAATGCACTCTTCTTGGGAACAGTGACGTGACCCCAGATGACCGCAAGAAACACTGCGGTGCGTGTACCATTGAGATAATAGTTGTCAATTGCAGAAAAGGTATTGCGTAGAAAGGTTGGCTAAAGAGTAAACTGTCTCCCAAGTGGTGTGTGATGGGGTTAATGTGTCTCCACAATGGGAAAACCCTGTTTCCTGTTAATTTCAGGCTGTACAAGACAGGAATCCAGGGACAGGTTCTGGGAAGTTAAAAAAGAAGCAAGTCAGTTGCCTACTGAGATGGTTTGAGTCTCAAGTTCATGCAGCTCCTGCAAGTCTTTGGGGGTCCTGCTGCTGATGCTGGCAGGATTTAGTTACAGAGTTAGAGAGAAACTAAACCTTAGGACAGCAGATATCTGCACATAGGACATGGAAACTGTTTGAGTCTCTCTTAAATTAGACAGGTCGAGATCCGATTGGCACATTCAATTCCTTGTTCTGTATATTCAGAAATTTCTGTGTGTTCTCCTTTTTGCATGGTGATTTTCAGGCAAACGTGGCAAGATTTCAAAGGCAAAGTATCAGAAGTTCAAAAAGGAGACGACTGACAGAGGGATTCCAGAAGAAAATATTGTGAATTTCATTGATAATGGTAATGAAATTACACTTTTTTTCTGACTATATCTTTCACCTGGTATGTAAATATCATGAAACAAATCAACTTATTTAAAATTTCTTTTTCCATAACTAATCTCATGTAGAATGGTGGTTGATGGTGGTTTCATCTCTAAGTCATATCTTTCTCTTGTAAGTCCATGGACTGTAGCCTGACAGACTCCTCTGTCCGTAGGATTTTCCAGGAAAGAGTACTGGAGTGGGTTGCCACTTCCTTCTCCAGGCAAACATTCAGACCCAGGGATGGAACCTGGGTCTCCTGTAATGCAGGCAGATTCTTTATTGACTGAGCTACCAGGGAAGCTCCTCTTATAAAATACATTACTTAAAAAACAAAATCTTAAAAATACTGGAGAAATCTTAAAAGTACTGGTGCACTGGGAAGACCCAGAGGGATCGGGTGGAGAGGGAGGTGTGGGGGGGAGGGATCGGGATGGGGATCACATGTAAATCTATGGCTGATTCATGTCAATGTATGACAAAAACCACTACAATATTGTAAAGTAATTAGCCTCCAACTAATAAAAATAAATGAAAAAAAAATACTGGAGAATGGTAGTAACAAGAGGCTCTTTTATTTCTCCCATTTTGTTTTTCCACAGATGACTGTCCAGAGAAGTGAATAAAATTGAGTTCAACAGTTTTGTAAGTATATATAGTTTGTTATTAGTGGTGCTCCACCAGATAAATCAATAAGGATACATTGTTATTTTAGGCCCAATGCCCATTAAGTGGCTTTAGGGGTGTCAGACTCAGTACTACCGCCATGGGCTGTAGCCCACCAGGCTCTTCTGTCCATGGGATTCTCCAGGTAAGAATACTAGAGATGGTTGCCATTTCCGTCCTTGGGGGATCTTCTCAGCCTGGGTACCGTACAAACCTTTCCAGACTGCCTGTATCAGCAGGCGGGTTGTTTACCACTAGCACCTATTTCATAGATGCCATACGTTGCCCATAACAATTATTTGTCCCAATAACTTGCATTCTAGCACTAGAGAGCTTTGTCTGTTACATTAGATAATTTCTCTTATCTTGAGACATATGAGATTACAAATTGTTTGCTTGATTATTGCTGAGCAGCTTTGGTGAGAGAGCCTTATCCTGCAGGAAACTTGCAGACCAGAGTCATCAGAGAGAAGCAGGAATCCCCACACGTTGGTGGAAACTACTTAGTGTTCACGTCAGTCCCGACCTGATTGTTGTCCACACACATCTGTCCTCCGGAAACACCAGGATTAAAGAGTGCACACAGCTTCTCAAGACCAGTGTTTCATCTCACATGATTCTGACAGAATTTAAATGCCTTCCAGCCACACTGTCTGAAATATGCATTTGAATCATATTCCCGCTTAGAAGGTAATTTCTGTTACTGGGATCTTTAAGGTTTTAAAACTAGGACAGCCTCAGAAAACAACACTGATCTCGGCTAAAGTGTGGCTTTAATCTCCTGTTAAGAAAAAGTTAATGAAAGAAAAAAGGCAAGAAAAACACACCAGCTTGCAGAGGAATATGATTAATAATTTAAAAAAAAAATGCTGCAAATATCCAATGGAGTATTACTCAGCCATAAAAAAGAATGAAATCATGCCATTTGCAGCAATGTGGTTGGGCCTACAGATTATCATACTGAGTGAAGTAAGTCAGAAAGAAAAAGACAACTACAATACATATCACTTGTATATGGAATCAAAAATAAGAGATGGGGGAGGTTATTTACAGAACAGAAACAGACTCAGAGACATAGAGAACAGATGTTGCTAAGGGGAAAGGATTTGGGAAAGATATAGATTGGGAGTTTGGGTCAGCAGAAGCAAACTACTGTAAACAGGATGGATAGAGAACAAGGTCCAACTGCATAGCACAGGGGACTAAATGCAATATTCTGTAAAAACCTAAATTAGAAAAGAATCTGGAAAAGAATCAATATTAATAGATGTATGTATACATGAGTCAGGCTCCAGTACCTCTGAAATTAATACAACTTTGATAATCACCTATATTCCTAAATGAAATTTAAAAAAAATTAGTTCTTGAAGACCCAATAGATAAAGATCTGTGGAATTAGGAGAAGAATGAAACTCAACCACATTGACAGTAAACCACGTTTAGATTAACTTCACCATGAGCATGCATTCTGAAATCACTACACCTCAAATCAATCACAAACAGAAAATCTCCCACCATACGCACATTCTGGGGAAACCTCCACAGGGAGTCTGCCATCTCAGAGCTGTGGAGTATCGACGTCCGCCAGGATTCTGTCCACTGGATCCCCTACCAGCTCCTGCACCCTGGACAGCCTGCTGCCTGAGGCTCAACCCTGTCAGCCATCACACACTCACCTCTACTAAACTTTTGACCCTGTTTTATTCACCTACAGAGTCACTGAGACCAGTCACATCCCCTTCTGCATGGAACCAAGATCAACGACGCAAAGATGACTTTCCTGCTTCCTGATTAACAGGATCCTTTTCTCTTCACATACACACTTTCTTTCCCGTCTCATTTCTCCTGATCACTGGTCATGTGCTGTCTGGTGGTATTTGGTTTCAGAAGGCTTAAATAAATTGATTTAATATCTGCCCTGCAAATGTGTGGCTGTGCAAAAGTCACTTGATTTCAAACACACAATTTTCCTCTTTAAATATCCAGGAAATGTGAGTCTCTCAGTCATGTCCGACTCTTTACGACCCCATGGACTATGTAGTCCATGGAATTCTCCAGGCCAGAATACTGGAATTGGTAGCCTTTCCCTTCTCCAGGGAATTTTCCCAACCCAGGGAAGGAACACAGGTCTTCATCATTTCAGGTGGATTCTTTACCAGCTACCAGGGAAGCCCCAGGAAACTGTGCCTTTAATAGGACAGGTGCTCATCAGAGGCAATT